ATGTGACCAAAGGAAACTTGGTGCTGTGTGACACACTTTAGATTCTCTGCTGCTGCTTTGAACTCTTCAAACTAAAGAGCCAAACGGATGATTGACTGTGCAGCTCTGACATGGCACCAAATGTCCCTGTTATCAGCTGCTGGATGGACGTTATCAGAGCTTTTTAGTGCCACACGGATCAGCAGGAGCTCCTCCTCTGTCTGCAAACAGGCTCAGCAGCTCTGATCATTGGAGTCAGCACAGAGTGTGGGGACATCTAGTGGTCGTGGAGAGAAGTGCATGTAACATGTGTGCATCGAGCTTTAAAAAACTCTGTCCAATCACAGACCTTCTCATCTGTTTAAGTAGAGACAACATGCACACAGCTCAGGATGTGAAGCTTGTGTCCCAGTTTAGCTCAGTGGGTCGAGCAGCTGAAAGGCTGCTGCAGGGCTCAGGTTCAATTCTGCAACAGATTTTATTGAAAATCTGATGATCATATTTTTGTCATGTTACATATTTCAGGGAATTTCTCTGAAGCAGGAAACAAAAGAAAAGAATCAGACAAAATCCTGCTGCAGCTTCATCCAGTTATTTAAAGGGTTAAACACACTGGTCACAGTTTGAGGTTTAAAGTAGCTGTGTGTGTCCACAGATCAGCTGACCTGCTGATCTTCATGATCAGTCTGGTTTCCTGCAGATAAAGGCCGAGACTCTTTAGTGCTTCAGTTCTCCAGAGAACCAGGAGGTCTGAGATCTGCAGAAACACAAAAACAAGAGCTGAAAATAGTTACTGTGAGAAAACGAGGCCGGAGCATTGCTGAGTTTATACAGTTATTATTCTTACTGCTGCAGAACATTGTCCTTTAAAAAAGATTTGCTGTTATTATAAAGTAAAATCTTGTGATAAAGAACAGATAAGAGTGTGAAGAACAACATGAGGAGGATGAGGAGTAACTATGAGGTAATTATGACACAGACAGCAAAGAAACACTGACTAAAAGTTTCATCTTCATCTGAATCATCATGAAGGTTCAGTCTGAATTCTCAGGGCTGAATCTGAAAACACTGATGAAAGCTGACAGTGTGACGTCAGACACTGACTCAGGGAGGCACAAACCTCTTCAGTGAGGGATGGAACAACCTCCAATATGTAAACGGAGTCAACAAAAACACTTTAAACCATTTATTATGTCATTATCTCTTCTAACAAAACCAACAGAAGGTGATTTTTACAAGCTTTAAAGCAGAAAAACACTCTGCAGTCCGCACTGATAAAACAACAGGAACTTGCACAGGTGAAAAAGTTGTTGGTGGGGGGCAGCTTCACACATACATACTCTGTTGCATCCATCAGAGTATGAATGTGTGAAAGAAACATACATGTATGCATGCACAGTATGTATGTAGGCTGTATGCAGTAAATATTTGATTAAAGTCCAAGTCTACACAAAACATCATTTAAATCTTGTAGTGTGGGATTTTAATAACATTAACATCTATTACATACATACATAAAAAAAATCATAAATATTTTTAATATCTGCTGCCTGCATAGTGACTGCTCACTATATTAAGAGCTTCTAAAATTCTGGTTATTTTCTTCATTCCTCATCCTCATTTAAGCCGTGAATCAATCCAACAAGATTTGATTTAATTAAAAATAGAGCTGGGCGATAAAACGATAACGATATGTATCGCGATATAACTTTTACTCGATAGAGAAATTAAGCTATCGCGATAGACCTCGCCGCTCTTGTCCTCTTAAAAAATAAAAAAAAAAGGTCAGCCAATCCAAATTAAGTAGCGCAGAGCCGAACCAATCACAGCCGCAGCGTCACGTCACGTGACTTGTTACGTACAGCACAAGTGCCAAGCCGCACGTGTGTTTGTTTGGGAAGCAGCCAGCGGGTAATGGAGGAAATGAGTGTGCCGACTAGAAAAATCAACCGAGCGTGACCGAAGAGAAAACTGATGATGGTTCCAATGCCGGAGAGATTGTCGAACGGAAGAGCCATAGAAGTTCCGTAGTGTGAAGGTATTTCGGCTATTTCAAGTCTGACAAAAAACAGAGTAGCGTGCACTGTAAATTGTGCCGAAAGCAAGTGTAGCACTTACGTGGAGTTACATAAAGTACCGATGGATAATTACCAAAGTAATAAGCAATTTGGGCTAGTGTCAGAAGACTGAGAACGACTCTTAGAGCTCTGGTACACGAATGGCAGAGAAACCAGACAAACACAGTTATGTGGCTTTAAAAGTACTTTAGTGATGTTAAGCCTTGTAAAAGAAATTTGTAAACAACACAGTATTACAACAGGTTTTAACAGAATGTCAAGTATAAAAATTTCCCCCAAAGTAGCAAAAAAAAAATAGAATTAAATAAAATTGTGCACAAGTAAAAGAATTAGTCTTTTTTAAGTCCAAATGGTACCGGTGGGGCCCATAGAATTCGTCTGACAAGGAGTGTGTGTGTGATTGTCTGTCCTACCGTACTACTTGTACAGTAGAGGATTGTAGTCCATCAATGTGCAAATGAGTGTGCGTGTACATGTATATCGTCTCCTAGGATCTTGGGTTGGCTCGCCATCCAGTGAACACTGGAACACTCTGGGTTCTGGAATCGCTGACCTGGTCTTTGGATTCGTCCCATATAAAAACCTGACCTATAAACAATGGCCAAATATATGTCACGTGCCCTTTAAGGATAACTCTCACAAATTAAACTAAAGTAGTGTCACAGTGCAGTAACTACTATTCAGATCAGCTATCATCAATTCAATCATCATCAGTTCAGTCATGTTGTACAACATTAAAATATCAAGTTTCAAAGGTCAAAGTATCAATATCCAAAATTTCACAGTATCAAGGTTCAATTATTTGTAACCTGCAGTAACATTAAAGATTATCTACAAGGTTTTAAACATTCAGGAATTATAGTCACCATATAATTCACTTTCATTGTAAACATTAATTACATCGATCAAAATAAACTCACTGTACATATATATCTAATCACAAATAAATAAGTATATTACCCCTTTTAAGAAATGGAATAATATGCAAATGCTTATCAGAAATTGAACAAAGTGCAAATAATCAATTTCAATAACACGTAAACACAAGGACTCAGTCCACAAATAGGAGTATTAAAATAGACGTGCTTAATCCCGCTTGTACCATAGGCCTACCAGTACAAGTGGAAATACACTAAAAATTACCTCCAAGTGTTCAATACTGAGTATTGTAAAACAACTGATTGACATCAAAATTTAAACAGGAAGCAGGATAAAGTCTGATTACAATTATCTCTCATAAAGTTATTTTTAGCTGCTTTAACCATTTACAGCTTTTCACATGTTAATGACTTAGTTAACGATCTAACTAGCATAACAACAGCGTTTCAGAGACATCGAACAACTGTACCCACACTCCGCACATCACGTGTCTGATTTACATGGAGCCACAGCTCAGTAAACCCTCCGGTTTCGCTTTGCCCTTGACAACAACAAGTGCAAATACATAATTTGTGAAAAATATCAGTTTAGATGGTATTTCTTTTAACTCGTTAGAGGTTAATTTCTCCAGCTTACCGATAACAAAAGTTTTAGTCCGTCTGCTCTGTTCGGCTGTAGAAGCAAGAGACTGAAAACTTGGGAGCTGGTACTAAGGAGGGACAAGAGCTGCCTAGAGCTTCACCGATTGGCTGACATGTGAGGAGTGGAGTAAAACAATAGGCTCTCATCAGAGCTCATCAACCCTCTGAGAAACTTAACCCTTGTTTGACCAGAGCATATCATATATAATCTGCATCCCTTCTATGTTTAAATAATTATTTTGATCTCATTTCACTTTCATTAACCGGGACAGTAAGAACAGAACAATGAACATTAAATGTTTTAATTTTTCTTCTCTTTCTGTTTGAGATGATTTTAGGAACTGGGTTACACAAGTCTGGAAATACAATAAACTGGTGCATGCGTCACACTGTGCGCCACGTTATTGTTTCGGTGAAATGAATTTCTACAATACTGTTAATTCTACTCTCTGCAGTGTTTAAATGCTTACATATACACACAGTTACTGTCCCTCCACACATACGACTCGGTTCTGCTTCTATGCCCCAGCTTTGTTTACTTTTTCCCACGAGGCTTCTAGACTTCTGATTGGCCAACATTTCTGCACGGTTAGGAATCTAGCGCCACCTGCTGCTTTGGCATGTTCATAGCAGCGTTTTCCTTCATTTCTGCCTTTATGTGTGGACGGGATTATTTTTGAAAACGAAAACGGTAAATCTCAGTTTTCAAAAATACCCGTGTACGTGTGGACGTAGCCTCAGTCTCTGACTGGAAGCGCTAATTCGTCATTCGGCTTTGTCAGACTAAAGTAACTGTTAAAACTGTTTGAAAAGCTCAGCTATACAACAAGGAGAGATTGAGAATTTCCTTTTAGTTCTCAGTTTATTTGATATTGACAAAAGTTAGTCAGTTTTGTCTGATCTTCTGTAAAACAAACTAAGATTTATTTTTAGAATTAATATTTTGTTTCTAAGTGGAATTGACAATTTAGTCTGTTTTGTTTGTTCTATTTTGAAACTTAAATGCTTTAGCGGCTGCCTTTTGTGTAGTTTGCAATATTTGCCTTTATTTATCTGAAAAAGTCTCATGTTCCTTAAGTACATCTACCCTGTTGAACTTATTATGGGAAATAAATATTTAAATAAAAACAAGCTGCTGATTATTTCACATTTTACTTGTGAGCAACGGCACATTTAAATCTTACAAATATAGTTATTTGGCTTATATCGTGATATATATCGTTATCGCCTGAAATGAAAAAAACATATCGTGATATGAAAAAATCTCATATCGCCCAGCTCTAATTAAAAAACAAACAAAGAAACAAATATTTTTTTAGATAAGTCAAAGGCACCAGGCTGTGAATGATTCCCAGATAGTAACAGACTCCAGGGTGGATCCATCCTCAGTCAGCAGATCCACGGAGTCCCTGATTCCACAGGATCAGCTCTCCTTCAGATCCATCAGACTCACTGCAGACCCACAGAGGATCGACTCATTTTATTTCTGACCACGATCAGACTTCACAGAAGCTCTGTGGACTCAAACAGGTCAGTAAACTGTGCTGTCAGGTTAACTCATGTTTGCTGTTCAGTAACATCAGACTGGGAGGAGACAATGAAGCTGATCATTATTTTATTTAGAAATGTGAGACTGAACCAGTTAGCTTACAGCATATTAGCTAACAGCACATTAGCTAACAGCACATTAGCTAACAGCACATTAGCTTACAGCATATTAGCTAACAGCATATTAGCTAACAGCATATTAGCTTACAGCATATTAGTTTACAGCACATTAGCTAACAGCATATTAGCTTACAGCATATTAGCTTACAGCACATTAGCTAACAGCATATTAGCTTACAGCACATTAGCTTACAGCATATTAGCTAACAGCACATTAGCTTACAGCATATTAGCTAACAGCCTATTAGCTAATATAGAGAGAAGAATTAAAGAGTTAAAAGTTTAAAAAAGACCTCATGGACAGGATTTATTTGAGTCTAGCAGGTGAAGTGGTTCAGTTTTCTGTCCTGGTGCTGACTTTACTCCAGGACTGAGCTCACAGGAGTTTTTCACCCCTCCAGGAATAATTGCACATAAAGTTAAGCTAATGTTACAGGTACTGGGGGCAGCACCCGTAGACAGCCACATATGTGTCCTGTAAACAGGAAAGAATGATAACTTAGTTAAGCTAACTTAGCTCGCTTTGTTTTCAATGAACTTTGTATCTCCAGATTAAAAACTGCAGAGACATCCATTAGATTAAAATGGGCCTTATTTAATTAATGTTTCAGAGACATTTTTACTTATTACAGCCTGTGAATTATTAGCAGTTATTGAAACAGAGCCAGATAACTACAGCTAGCTGTTTAATACAGATGAAACTGTATCAATGAGATTCTGAAGTGATGTTTTCCACAGTTCTTGTTGTGTTATTGGACGGAAATCTATGGAAGTGTGTCAGCATCCTCATCCTATGAATGTGTCATCACTCTGCCTGAAGTGTTTTATGTTTGTAGATCAGTTTGCTGAAGTCCTGTTAAATAAATTGAAAACAGTTAAATAACCGAGGAGAGTCTGGATGTTGATCTGAAGGATAAATGTCAATATAATGATCTTTATCAGTGAAATTACACATGTTGTGTTGCAGAATACAACAGGTGAGGCAGGTGGATGATCATGGAGGCACAACGAGGTCTATCAGGTAAGTTATGAGTCATGTTGTTATTTTTATGAATTTACTTTGCTTGTTGGCTAGGGCTGGGCCATATCATACCGTCATACCGTTCACGGTAGTACCGGTATAATGTTAGGCAATGATAAGAAAATGAGATATCGCGATAGAATATGTGTAAAACGTGGATGCGCAGAGCCTTTGTTTTCATACGCACATGGTGGAAAAAGCCAGCGCTCAAAAATCTGTTAGAAATGTTTTAGGACGACTCAGGTAAGCTACGCTTGATGGATTGTCGGAGCATTACGGCTACCGTAGTCAGGAGCCTCGCGGAGTAATAGGTACTGTGCTTTAACATAATATTACCGCATTGTGTGTGTAAAACCTCCATTTTAGTTTTGTGGATATTATACATGGTTATGCTCAGGACATGTCGGCCCGTTTCCACTGGAAATGCCTTTTGGTTAAACTGTCAGCATTTGCATTTGCACTGTTACATTTTTATATAACTTTAATGCACAGAAAAACAGCTGCTTGTTTAAGTGAAAATACATTGATGGGTTTTTTTGCACTAATAAAGTTGTGGAGTTTTGTCTCGCATCAATTATATCGTCAGTTATATCGTTATCGCAAATTTTCAAATATATATCGTGATAAATATTTTTGGCCATATCGCCCTGCCCTGTTGTTGGCTCACTAGTCCCAGGAAATAAGTGTCCTGTCCTCCTCATTGTAAATCAGCCACATTCAGGGTTTTCCTGCTGAAACAGATCTTTGTGCGCTGATTGTTGAGCTAATGGCTAAAGAGTGATTTATGCTGGAGGAAATTAAACACTACTTAACAACGTTTAGTTAAAAAAATGTATTCCAGTTTTCCTTTGATTGGAGAGCAAAACCTCCTGAGTGCTACCAGATGTTTTTGTATGCAGGAGAAACTCAGACACACAAACACAATAAACACAGAAGTCAGACAACATTCAGTCAGCCTGTTTCATATGAATCTTACACGTGTGACAAACACACACGAGTGTTGCTGAGTCAGCACAGACATGTTCTGACTCATCACTGATGTTTATGAGGAAATCTGAGAATGACTGAAAGTGATGCAGAACCTCTGAGAACCTCGTGTTTAACTTCTTTTAAATAAAGACGCCGTGCTGATTCCTCTGACTGAGACCACTAACAGCTGCAGCTGCAAACTGGAGGTTTTAGAAAGAACAAAGTTCAACATTTACACCAAACTAAACAAACAAACAAACAACCTTTATTTGTCACATACACAATTATACAGAGTACAACATGTAGTGAAATTCTTGTGTCCGAGCTGCGGACATTCCAGGGCTTGGTTTTTAGCATGGGGGGTCTAGCCAGGACCCTTACTGGGAATCGAACTTGTGACTCCCGAACCACTACACCATCCAGCTGCAACATCCTCCAATAAAACTTTAAGTTGCTCCTGATATGTGTCCATGTCCATTTCTACAAGAGTCTCTGATGTAATCTTCTTATATGTAAGCAGGCAAATCCAACCACGTCAGCCTGCAGCAGGTGGAGGACGTCCAAGCAGCTGTGCTGCTGTCCAGGAACACGATCCTGCTGCTCCATGGAAACAGGTTTAATGGTCCCAGAGCTTCTATCAGAGGCTTCACACAGAAGGTGAAGCAGTTTGTTTGCATGAACACAGATTTAGACGGTGTCTGTGGGCTGGGTGGATGTTCTCCTGTCACTGTGTTTACGCTTGTTTTGTGTTGACTTTGGGATAAAACCAGTTAATAAGAATCTAATAAAATAATAATAAAAGCACTAATGTGACATTTTAGTCTCTTTGTTTGTCCTTAAATATTATAATATTATAACATTATTATATTATTATTATCTGCTGTGGGTGTGGCTATTTTAAAGGGCTACAGGGTTTCATCCATGTTTAATAAGAACTCGGTGGTGTTTGCAGAAAACAAGTTGATTCTTTCTGTGTGAATGTTTGAACTCGTGCTGTGTGACGGTGGACGTTCTTCTGATTTCTGCATGTTTTCATCTCTAAATGCTGCAGTTATAAAACTGATCACAGGCCCACCTGAAGACAGAACATGAACACAGTGTTGATTACAGCTTGGTTATAATAACCTTATAAATGCATAAATATATCAGTGTGTATTGTGTGTCACAAAGGGTCTCAGTGATGTGTTAAATACAGAAATCATGTTTTGAGATAAAACTCTTAGAAGCTGTAGTTGTGCACGACGGTGTGAACGCTGTGAAATAAGAGCGATGCTCAGATGAGCAGCTAAACATGTTTGGAGAACTGCTGACAGACTAAATCCTAAAAATCCAACAGTGTCTGTGTTTCTTCATTACATGAAACAAACATGAATTCCTGCCTGACTGGTTCAACTAGTTTGTTCAGTAGAGTTTAAATAAAGATCTAAAACTGAACGTCTTGAAAGATTCAAAGTTTTATTTAAAAAACATCTTTTTGCTGCAGTTTTTTTAATAATTGTTCAGTTAATATTTGATGTCCTGCTGAGCTGTGAGGTGATGTCATTATTTCTGCCATTACTGGATAAAAATGAATCTCATTTAGAGAAAATCTGAGACAGAGATTAGACACGTTTGTAATCTGATGTAATCTGAGTATCACTGATAGACGACTCTGTGACAGCTGCAGCAGACATGTTTAATGAGTCACTGTTCATACTGTTCATGGTTCAGTCACAGTAACTGTCCCAACTCTCTGATTAATGTCAAGTCTTATTGTTAAAAGAAACACGTTATAATAAACCTGTGAGCTCTGATGGATCTGTCTACAGATGTGAGATATTTCAGACATTTTAAATAAAGAACACAGAGTTTATCAGGTCACAACAAGCCACATGAATCACAAACAGATCAGGAACAAACGAGGTGGAAACAACCGGATCAGTTCTGGTGTGCAGTGTTTGCGGCTCCATTTCACAGCTTTAAGAACACTTTCAGGACTTTTACTGTCAGAGCCTCGATGTTTTTAACCTTTATTGAACACAAACAGTTTATAGCAGCGGTTCTCAGACTTTTCACAATGAGTACCACCTCATAAAATATATGGCTCTTGAAGTACCAGCCTTATGACCCACATTAAAGTACAGTAGTAAAGGCCTATTTAACACCACAAACAGTTTACATGAGACAATTTTATTTCTGATATGAATGTTATTTATTTTAACTGTCATAAACAGGATGTGACGAGTGACATTAGTAACAACTGTACTGCATTAAAACACAGCAGCAGGTGGGATATCCAATCTTTAAGTGATGACCTGGTGAAACCTGCTTCTGGGTCCAAACGACTCTGAGTTTATTAAGGCTGTTGTGTTTTTAATATGTTTTAATGCTTTGAATCTTCTTCCATTTAATCTGAACAAGCCCCTAAAAAAGGTCCGTGATCACTGTCGGCCTCTCTCGGTTGTTATCACCACTGTTCATTTTAAAGCTCAGTTTTAAAAACCTTAAGATGTAACTACAGCCCATCTCATGCAGCAGTATATGAATGACTAACCTCGTATTGCGGATGGATTATCTCAGTGGTTCTCCTGACTGAAGTTTGGTCCTTTTACAGCATCCTGCCATGCGATTGCATTTGTCACTAACCATCAGTGAACATAATCATTTATACTCCACCTTAATACAAAGATCATCCTCTGACTAAATGAAAGAGAAGAAGAGGTGTAGCGTTCACAACAACATCTGGATTTTTAAGGAGAACTAAAACTAAAACAAACAACTTTTTCTTTCAGATTTTCACATTTTTCTTGTAACATATAAACAAACTGAAAGCTCTGTGATTTTATGAAAATGTATCCTCATGGAGTTTGCATGTTCTCCACATGTTTGTGTGGGTTCTCTCCGAGTACTCTGGTCTCCTCCCACAGTCCAGAGACATGCAGTCAGTGTGGCTGGGTTATTGGATCTTTCTAAATCTCCATAGGTGTGAATGGTTGTCTCTCTTTCTGTTTTTTACTGAAACTGCTGACCTGTCCATGGTCCACACTACAATAGCTGAGATAGACTCCAGCTCCCCACGACTCTGAACTGGATAAGTGGAAGAGAATAGATGGCTGGATGTTCAGTACCAGTGCACATTTTGAGCTATGAGTTTGCTGCCAAATGCAGTGATCTGATTGGCCAGATCTGTTTATTTGCAAGCAAAAAATGTGGACTCTAAACTCAGAGTGAACTGATGCAGAGTTCAGGTTTAGACTCACATACAGCTGATTCATGTTTCTGTCTCCGTGTCCTAAGTTTCCCAGCATGCCTCGGCTCTGGAGGTGTATGAGGGGGTGGAGTCTGTCCTGCTGCTCTGCAAGGACACTTCTGTGCCTCTTGACCCCACTTTGGTGTGGACTCGCCACGACCTCAGTCTTCCAGTCGTCCACCAGCGTAGCCTCAGAGGAGATGAACTGAGAGACCAAAACCAGCGTTACAGGAGACGAACGTCCATGAAGACGGACTCTCTGAGGACCGGAGACTTCAGCCTCACTCTGAGGAACCCCATCACCTCTGACAGCGGCACCTACACCTGCACCATCACTGCATTTGGAAATGAACGGACACTGGCAGGAGTAGAGCTGCAGGTCAAAGGTCAGTAACACACCAAGAAAGACTGTTGACCGTTTAACCTTTGTTGTAGCTGTTTACACAGATGTTCAGGCTCAGCTATCATCAGCCTGTGTGAACAGCTTCAGTCTTCATCGAGGACAAACCTCCACTCTGCTGCTTATCTACAGACTGAGTTCAGCCTCACTGTTCATAAATGTCCTCACACATTCATAAGAACTAAAGCAGGAGGTCCAAACAGCTTCAGGTGTGAGCAGCACAGAAAGGTCTGACTTAGAGAGACTCCAAAGACAGCAACAGGAAACAGACGATTATCAGACGTTAGAGACTCTAACCCAACATCCAAACTGTTAACATCAGGTTCTGACGCTGTGGCCATCAAAACTGATCATAATGGCTCTCTATTCTATTCTACTCAACTCTACTTTATTATCTTCTCTTACATTCTATTCTATTCTTTTCTATCTTATTCTGTTATATTCTGTCCTATTTGGGTTTTTTTCTATTGTGATCTTTAGTGTTGAATTGTGTTCTGTTGTATTATGTTGTGTTCTATTTTCTTCTATTCTTTTCTTGCCATTTTGTTCGATTGTTTTAGTTTAATCTTTTCTGTTGTATTCTGTTGTGTTCTGCTCTCTTCTTTTCTCCTCTATTCTGCTCTTTAAATGTAAATTTTAGTTTTCAGTTGTGAAATCAGACATTAAATCTGTATATGAAGGAAATTTGTTTTTTCATATTGTGAAGTATCCAGTAAATAAGCTGAGGTACCTCACCAAGAAATGACTGCAGGATAAACAGGTTAACTCACCTTTCTGTGATTAGTTTACAGTAAAGAACAGTGTGTGACTGCTGCACAGCAGCTGTGCTGTTCAGGGTCAGCACTGCTGCACAGCAGCTGTGCTGTTCAGGGTCAGAGTTCACTCACATCAAGTGTAGCAGAGATGACACTTATATTCATTCACTGGATTCAACCTTTATACCAACTGCCAACCATCTAGTATAAAGACATCATCAATACAGTTTACTGTATGCAGAAAAAGTGTCTCATGTACCAATCAAAGAGTTACTTTGAGTACATTTCAGAGCCTGTACTGTAGAAGTTAAATCAGTACTTCAACTTTTACTGGAGTATTCTTAACACACGTATCTGTACTTTGACTTAAGTACAGACTGTCTGTCCTTTTGGCGTCTCTGCACACAGCTGATTCATGTGTCTCTGCGTCCTCACAGTGTCCCACCAAGTCTTCACCCTGGAGGTGTACGAGGGGGCGGAGTCAGCCCTGCTGCCCTGTCACATCCCGTTTGTATCTGGACCCACCACAGGGGTGTGGAGCCGCTACGACCTCAATCCTCCAACCGTCCACCAGCGTCAGCAGGAAGAGGACGAGCTGACAGATCAAAACCAGCGTTACAGAGACCGAACATCCATGAAGACTGACGCTCTGCAGACTGGAGACTTCAGCCTCACTCTGAGGAAACCCCACATCTTTGACAGCAGCAACTACACCTGCACCATCAGAGTGACGGGAGAAGAACCCAGACTGACAGATGTTCAGCTGCAGGTCAAAGGTCAGTTTGTCTGAACATTAAAGCTGATGTCTTTATTTGACAGGGAACTCATGGTGCTCAGAAACAGCCTGATGGAGATGATTTGAAGGTCAGACTCATTCATGGAGCAGAGGATTGTTTGTCTTTTCCAGAGAGTCAGTCAGTCATTGGAGCAGCAGAGCAGGAACTGTTTGTTAAAACAGGATAACATGTAATGAAAGTAAAAGTAGAGTTTAAACTTTATTAAAACGCGATTGTTTTTTACAGTCTGTAGTTTTATGTTTGCAGCATTTCAGGATCTCAAATTAAAATTTATTGTACAAACACATAACACATGTTATAGTGTGACTAATAAGGATTTGACCACTTTCTGCTTTAGCCCTGAGCCTTGATATGACTTTGATAGTTTCCTGGAACGTGAGTTATTCAGACTGATGGTGTCTTCA